TTCGGCTTCATTAAAAACTCTACCGCGCTTGAGATTTGAACCCACGATCATTGAAAAAAAAAAACAAAAAAGAAAAAAATGTAAAAGCATTGTAGTCAAGCAAGGCCATACACCGTCCCGCCTAATGCAGTTATTCGCAATTAGAGCGCGTGGACGGTTAACAGACTTAATTTACTTGTTGAAGATTTTATTACTATTTTTTTTTTTTCACCTGCTTTTATCATAAAAAGCCCCAAATTAGAATTTTTTTTTGGCCATATAAGGGCTTACTTTTGATGAGAACTCATACATAGGGTCGGATCTAACATCTATGGTTAATCTTTATGTCGATTTGGCAACGAAGTAGAGATGAATTTTCATCATAAAATATTGAAAACTAAACCCTCTTGTCAAATGGTTTACTATTCATGAAGACCGGTTTCCTGAGGGGGTTTAACATATGAAGCTACATGAAGCTAAACATGCTTTGATTTGATTTTTATCATATGAAGAATCAGTTTTCATAGAAATAGTTGTAATGGGTCATATTGAAAAGTCTTCGCGGTTTTCCCCTCAGTTTCGGGCTTCCTTTTGTAGTCTGCTCTTTTCAAATGATTCCAAATTGTCCGAATTGTCATGTGCCTGTGATATTTAGTGCTTCCGCTATTTGCTAATAGCTTGCGGTCTTGTTCCACCAGTCGCAAAATTTTATCGACTTTGTCAATGACCACAAGATGCTTCTTTGACATCGAAATATTCCGGAACGAAATTGAGTAAACCACTTCTAGGCCCTTCGCTCACTCACAGCATTCGCACCGTTCACTTCACAGATTTTCTTTGCAACGTTTTCACTTGTTTTATAGTAAAAAAGCTCCACATAACGCATATCTTCGGATATTTCACGCACAAGCATGAGAAACCTATTTTGACAAACACTGTAAGCGGAAATGTCACCTTTTAAGCACATGTTCGTTTGAAGCAATCAGGTGAGTGTTGCCCGATATTTGAGTATCAATAACATCCCGCGGAGAAAATTGATTTTGTGGAGAAATTTTGAAAATCCCAATTTTCTATCTTTAAACGATTTTTCAAAATAAGGCGTTTTACGGAAAGTGATCGGAAAACTGCACCTGTCCAATCCATTATCAAGCGAGTTGGACATGTTCAAAGCTCGGTATGTTTGAGGGCAGAGTATACCATACAATCAATGAATAGCGGAAGGTATAAATATCAGACGAACTAGCAGCTAAAAATGTAAGATATTGTCTTCTTCTTCTTTTTCTTCTTCTTTAAGACAACACTACGCTGTGTCGAGAAGCATGAAAATCATTGTATTTCGTTATATATAACTTAAGTGAATGGCAAGCAGTACGCTGTCAATAGGCATTTTTAAGATGAGAAATGCTCCACAAGTAGTTTCAGTGAAATTGATGGGTGATGGGTGATGTATTGTTTTTTTTCCAACACTTTATTTCAAACTCATTAAAATGTTTTTCCTTTCCAATCTCAATTCTGAAAACAGAAATACCTTCAAGTTCTTTGAAATATTTTTCTTATTTTGTTTCTGTTTTTTTTTTTTGCCTATTTTGCTTTCAATTTTTGGAATTTTTGTTTTTTCTCATCATATATAAAATTTCTTCGGAAACACTCGTGCGAAATTTCAACTCTTTCGTCTTTAAACCACTTAACTGTGGACCGCCTATAAAAACAAAACATACAAAGGTACAACTAATTTCCATTTGAAAAGCGTTAAATGTCACAGGATAGAAAGTATTGATGTAGACAAGAAAAACAGACTAGTCTACCATTCATTTCATTAAACACGAGCCAAACCAAGTGGATACAATAGTTGAAAAAAAAAAAAAAAAAAAAAAATAAGGAAAGAAAAAAATAAAAATGCATTTTTGAATACAAATGAGAAACGGAAATTCTGTGTAATTTACAAAGAAGAAAACAAAAACAAAAAAAAAAAAAACGAAAAGGATTTTTGAAAACAAAACAAATATAAACTCTGTCAAAACACTCTGCATGCACCACAATAATCCATCAGAAGACAAAAAGAAAATATGAGTCATTGAAAGGATTGCACATAGAAAAACGATATATTAACATAAATGTCATGTTGTGGTTGCCTATTGTTCGTGAGGTTTTACTTCCTAAGTATCTAAATAGCAAAAATATTAGTTTCATTAACCCATTTGCGTAAAGTAGGGAAATCAAGCTTGGACATCTGACGAGAAGGACAATGCCAGGGCTGTTGGATCTTTAAGCTAAATTTACGAATATATCCGACGAATGATTGGCCGTAAATGGAGAACCTGAACGTAGCAAGCTTTCGTGCAAGCAAGTCTTGTTCTATACCCAACTCAGAAAAATAATCAATGCCCACTCTATGCAAAATTTTTTTGTGAACCCAACTATCATTAGCGTATTATAAATGCAATACTTCCGAGTTATTTTTGCGGGCGCTTTAATTTTTCCCATTCAATGTTTTATGGACGATTTGCATCTAGTATATCTAAATTGATCTGAGAGCGAAACTTCCCAAGACCATGTCGGTCGAAATAAATTGATTAAAAGTAAAAATTGATAGATCAACTTACAATTTTGTCATACATATGGGAATTTAATAGGTCCAAGGACTGGCTAACTCAGCTTTTCAGTTTTCTAATAATGAATGGAGAAAGGAAATCGGGATACTGGGTATACGAGATATTGGCGAAAGTTTAATGTATATTTCTTGGCCAAATTGTCCCTGCCCGCTATTTACGTAGCTGCGATGTTATCGAAGTAAAAGGCGTATTTCGACCGGTTATTACCGGTCACTAGTCGTAAGAGGGAACAATGTGTTTTTCTGTTATAGCTTTTGTGATTTTATATCAAATATGGTATTAGTCGCAATAAAACTCGTCCATATAAACAAACCACCACGATTTGTGAGGTTGCTCTTGTGTAGCTCAGTGTACGGCTATAAGTTGCTATTTAAAATTTTTTTTCTCTCTATCTCGTTCTCTCTCTCTCTCTCTCTCTCTCTCTCTCTCATCTTCTCTTTCACTTCTCTCCCAATTCCATGTGTTTTCATTTCTTGTATCCTTACTTTTAATTATTGACATTTCGTAGTTTGAAAAATCACGAAACTTACATTTTTACCATTACTTTGCAAAAACAAAGGTAGCATCACTTCAACAACTGTAATTTGTAAATTAACGGTTGAAATCTTAAGAAATTTTCTCACTTTTCGCACTTAAAGGTTAATACGGCCAAAAAATCCCAAGGATTGGTCTATAATCGTTCTACATCTGTATGTAATCCTACAAACTTATTGAGCAATTTGTGTGTATTACATAAATACGTATATAAATAAAGAATTATTTCAATTTACTACAAAAGATGATAACTATATAACGAATAAAATTTCTATTTCGTTGCCATCAAAGTAATCAAAGTTAACAGTTTCGCCCATTGCAAGGAACTCATAGTGCACAACACCCCGATAATCGATGAAAAATGTTGACACCACCTTCACTCTAGAGTGACTTTGGCGCGGTTTTTTCATTCCTCGCCCACCTTTTGGACGACATTTGCTTGATCGATCGCTTGTCTCCGGTTCTCATGCTTAGATCCAAGTCTCATCTCCCGTAACAATACGTTTCATGGCCGATTGATAGTCAGAAATAATCCCTTTGCACACATTGTAAAAATCCCAAAAAATACTTGCTATGTCATCGAAAATCACCTGCAGCTGAAATACTCATGACGTTTACCACGTCACAGTCCAAAAAATATATTAAGACATAGGTAATATCGAGAAGGGCGTAGGATAGACCAACCTTTTATTATACCGATCCATTTAGAATCGTTTTCTAAGCTTGTCTGTCCATTAGATCGTCTAATGTCGGCCCTTGTATTTTTCTGTTCAACGTACACAATTCACAATTTTTAAGATATTTTGATAAAATTTATACCCTGACGTGCTTTTATCCAACGCCATTGAAAGTGATTCGGATCGATGCACTTTTCTCCCCTTTCCCCTCCATATAACGCGTTATTTTGTAAAGTTCTTATATGGGAAAAATTGTGATTTTCAAAATTATATGGCGAAACTGACTCGGCGATAGTACCGAATTTTTACCATGTATATATCTATGTTTGCAAAACTTAATTATTAGTGTTGGATGATGAAAATTTTTTCATGGATAGTAATTTGATATAAAACTTAAGTGGACCAAATATGGACCATACTTTCGCATGAAAATAGTGTATAATATTTAGTGCATTTATAGTAAAATGAGAGAATAACTGCAGTAAGCAAAGTGATGTATAGTATCTAATTAACGACCTTGCCCGACTATAATTTTCATAGTTATTTATTTATTTTTTTTTAATTTTTTAAAAGTCTGTTGGTCAAATCAATTGCTGAGCATTCATTTTACAAAAATGCAATTTGCTTTTATATGACGTAAGTTAAATATTCGGCTGAATCGCGTCAATAAACTCTACTTTATCTGTGATTTCACATTTGATTACGAAGGATTTTTAAATCGTTATTACGATTATGGACGACTCTAATACAAAAAATTGTATAAATTAAAGAAAATTTCAATTCATGCACAAAATTTTATTAAAAATAGATAATTAAATGTTATTCGCCAGGTTTTTAAGAACAATTAATTCTCGGATACACTTGCGTTGCGAACACAGGTAAGGAAAGACATAAGCAAAAATAAAAATGAAAAAAAAAAGAAGAATTTTAATTCATAATTTTTTTTTTTTTTTTTTTTTTTTTTTTTTTTTGTTTTCCTTTCTATTCTCTATCTTTCTAACGACTGCAAATTATTTTTTCGGACAATAACCGACTTTACAGTATTTAGCTTCTAAATGGTATTCAAATAGTTTCTAATTAATCTAAAAATAAGCTGACATTAATGCTAAGATTACATAAGATTTACGAAAACATATATAGCGTTAATAACTTCTTCTTTTTCTTGTTCTCTCTTCTTTTTTTTTTTGCTTTTGTTAATTTCATTTAAACATTACAACAATATATAACACATTATCATTTTCTATTTTAAATCCTCGCCGTATTGATGGACATTAAGAATAAGCGAATTTATTTTTATATCTGGCAACAGCTTTTTAAGCTTCAGTAATGGGTTCATTCGGTTCACATAACTGCTGTTGTCCTATGCCACATATGTTCCATACAGAATTTATTACCGGGCAGTTTTTTTTTTTTTTTTGCACAAATTTCTACAACTTTTGAAGCAATGTTCATATAATACGTTTATCATGCATGCTCAAGACATATATCTAACGAGACTGCAATCAGTTTGACGCGAAGGCCGGATTATTTAAGTCGAGGTTTCGAAACATTTTTTTTTTTTTTTTTTTGCTTTAGCATGTTAGCCTAACATGTTCGGATCTTGTTGTTGCTGCCGTCCCTCCCCAACTTCTTTCTCCGGAACATTGTTGTTCGCCACAAGATTTAATTCAAGGTAAGAGAATTTTTTTCGTACTTCCTTAACAGCACTTTCGCGTTTCGCATTTTCATATCTATTTATCAGATCGTTAATCAATTCAAAATTCTCTTCGTCTAATTTAACTGACGCGAAGATTGCATTGTTTTCATTAATTGCAGATATAAAAGTACTTTTATTCCAGATGTGACGGGCATATCTAGCGACCAGAAAATGTGAACTTGATAAACATTTAAATAGTTTGATGAAAAGACGTTCTTGAATCGTTGTAATAGGCGGTAAAATAATTACACTAAGTATTTCATCAATTTCAACTAGAAACATGGCTTCCTTTTGCGCATGGCTTCTCGGCCATATATTTAGAAGACCCTTTATAAATGGCTCGGCGAGCAATGGATCCTTTTTAAGAAATTGTAAAACACAATAGCTTAACTTTTCATGATAAAGTGATAAACATTTCAATTTGTGCATCGGCAGCAATACCTTGAACAGAAACTGTTTATATTCGAGCTTGAGCGGTACACCAAAACCTTTAACTATGCTTGCGAAAACTTCTAGTAGTTCCCCTACTCCACTAAAATGCTTTGTTTCGTAAATGAATGTTAGGAATACAAATCCGATATGCTTTTTTATGAATTCTCGTACATTTATGCAATTACTGTAAATACGATGTAATACATTTTTTAATGCAACACGTTCACGTTCATCTTCCGAATCGAATAACTCCAAAAGTTCGCTGATAAATTTCTCATCAATAAAATTTTCAGCAATATTTCCTCGAAACGCTTTTGAATATAGAAAAGAGGCAAAAACATCGTAAACCAATTGTAGACTAGGCCAAGCGGCATCGATTATCGGAAAGTTTACGTCATTATCGAAATCCTTGTAATCTTGTGGTGGCAATGTACGAAATATGTTACAAGCTACCATATGTATCATTTCCGGATATATAGTGTCCGTAAGTGCACCACGGGCACGTGTTATATAGATCGATAGTTCACTAAGGGTATCATATTTGATAATTTTGGCTCTCCATTCAGCCATAGGGTCGTAGAAGTTCAACGGAATGCAACATTGACGTAATTTTTGTATTAATAATTGCTCTTGTTTAATTGCGGCATATTTATACCTTAGTGGTGGCAGCTTTTCCAATTCTTGGGCCTTCAAGTTTACGTATCGGACGAAAGTTCGCTTCGTTTTAATTTTCTTGCTTAGCGAACATAAATTATATGGATCGATTTCATCAAGGAATACTTTTTCCAATTTTTTCTCTTCTCCTTCGTCTTCTCCTTCCATATTTATTGCTCCCTCTTCTTGGGGTTGTCGCTGTTGGTCTTGTTGATCAAGTGGCTGCTCCTGTTCTGCTTCGTCCGGGTGCAGTTGCTGTTCAATCTGCCTTTGATCTTCTTCTTGCTGATCTTGATGAGGCTTTTGCAATTCCTTTTCTTTTTCTGGTTGTTTCTGGTCTTGCAGACCTAGCTGTTTTTCTTGTTGTAAGTGTTGAGCCTGTTCTTCCCGCTGTTGTTTTCGCAATTCGCCTCCCGATTGCTGCTGTTCCTGTGTTTGATTTTCTCCATGCTTTTCTGCCTTATGTTGGTGTTGCTGGGCTTCGTACTCTTGCCTTTCAAGTATTCCCGGCTGTAGCTTTGGAAATTCTATTTGTTCTTCTAGCTGTTGCAATAACTGTTTTAGCTTCTGTTGTCTATATTCCTCTTCTTTTTCTAGCTGTGGCTGCTGCAATTGCTTTTGTAACACTTGTGGGATTCTCTGTTGCTCTTGCTGTTGTCCTTTCTTCTGTTCTTGTATCTGTTGTTGTTGCCCCATTTGATCTTGTTCTCGCAATTGTTCCTCTTGATCTTGTGGCATTCTGTTTTGGCTCCGTAGTTCGTCTTCTTTATGTTCACATGCTTGTTGTTGTTGCTGTTGTTCTTTTTGATGTAATTGCTCCTGGTAGTATTGTCCTGATTGGTTTTGCGTTCCTTCTGGTTGTCGTTCACGGTGCTCCTCTTCCGTCTGCTCTTCCATCGGTTCTTGTTGATATTGTTGCATTTTTCGCTGTTCTCGTCCTTTTCTCTCGTCGTCTTCTTGTTTTTCCTGTACATGTTCGTGTTGATGTATTTGCTTCGGCTGCTGCTGGTTTTGTCGTTCTGATAATTGTTGCTGGTATTGTTCTGAATGCTCTAACTGTCCTTGTTTTTTCTCTTGAGTCTCTTCATATTGTTGTTGTTGTTTTTCTTCCTGTTCTTCTTCTTCTTCTTCATCTTCTGCTGGTTTTCTCTGCTGTTGTCCAATCTGCTCCGCTTGTTGTTGTTGCAGGTTTTGTTGCTGTTGCCTGCCGTTTTGCTGCTGCTGCATCTGTGCTTGTTGCATTGCGTGCGCTCTTCTTGCCAATTCCTCAATTTCACTTTGTATTAATTCATTAAATAATCCAGGATTCATTCTTTGAAATTTAATTAAGACGGCGCGGGAGAGTAATAAAATAGTCTTATTCCAGTAATGTTTGCTGATGTCATTCACAGCCGGTGCTATAAGAGGCATAATCTCATCGCAGTTTTGCATAATCAAATTGACGACATATTTATTGCGGCAGAAATTAAGAGCATGCTTAGCAACTTGATAATGCGGACTGGATACACATTTTGATATTTGACGAAAAAGATGATTCTGGATTCTATAAAAATCCAATAAGCTAATCTCTTCGATCATTGACTCAATTTCGTTCAAATAAATTGTTTCCTTTCTTGCGCTGCTCTTCGGCCATATTCTTAAGAGGCCACGTATTACCGGTCTGCAAAGTAAAGGCTCCTTTTTAATTAAAGGCGTCATACAAGCGCCAAGTTGTTCATAAAATGATGGTAAGTTTTCTTTTTTATGTAGCGGTACCAACACTTTAATCGCAAATTGTTTGTACTCAAACTTTAATGGCACGGCGAAGCCAATAATTAAACTTTCCATAAAATTTAATATCTCATTAATGCCGTTCAGATGCTCGGTTCCATTGATAAAACCTATAAGTACATATTTGACTTCTCTTTTTATTATTTCTCGTAGAGTCACACATCTATTGTAAATGCGATGTAAAATAATTTTCAAAAGTTGACGTTCCACTCTATTCACGGAATCAAATAATTTTAATAGCTGTATAATGAATTTTTCATTAATATAAGGTACGGCGAAAAACGATTGAAAATCTCGCGATTCTAGAAAGCTAAGGAACACCTCGTACACCAGATTTAAATGTGTCCAGGAATTTTCAAAAATAATCTCTTTCGCGTCGACATCTGTAAATTCGTTGGGTGGCAACGTATGAAATATATTGCAAGCAAACATATCTACAATTTCAGGGTATATCGCATCGGTAAGCACATTATGCCCATAGGTTATGTAATGTATTAGATTTTTAAGGGCTTTGCATTTAATTTTTTTGCCATCCGAGTCAATATCAGGAGTCTCGAAATGAAATAATACACAGCACTGACGTATTTTACTTATAAACACACCCTCTTGCCTGCGAGCATTCATGTTGGGATTCAGATATGGCAGCGGTATTAATTCTTCATTGTCTGAATGCATATAACGTGACTGACCCTGAGGTTTTTTCATTTTCTTCATAGGAGAAAATCTTTCGAATGGATCGTTTCGTTTAAAGTCTTCCCTTGACGCCATTTTCAACAAACCTGAATGAGTACAGAAATGTTTCGCAAAAATTTATTAATTAATCACGCCTTACTTCGCATCTGTCCATTTACGATATTTAATAATTTTAATTTTTTTTTTTTTTTTTTCTTGTTGCTGCAATATTTACACCTTACGTTAGTATGAAGTTGCTTCTAAGAGAGCATTGAACGTATTGGTAAGAATTTTTATTTTATGATAAATCAGGGAAGCAATTTAGAGGTTATGGTTTCTTTCGCTTTATTTCGTTTACAGATATTACATACTAAACCGCCATTTTATCAACGGGCAAAATTTGACATTCTCTATGAGCGCCTTAATAATCAAGTCAAGTGTTCAAGTCAAGATCATTGCGATTGTAACAATGACAAAAACTAGGCGCCTGCATGAGTACACATTTAGTTCCATATGATGTTATGAAGAAGAGAAAAGCAACAAACAAAATTAATATTGAAATAATTGCTTACAAAATAATCAAAACTCTCCAGAACATATTAGATAAACAGAGAGAGAAGAAGAAGCACAAAGGAGAAGAGAAATTTCAGATCACACTTTCGTCCCACGTCATATTTCTCGATAGATAATTTTTTTATTCCTTTTAGAATATTATTTGATTTAACGAAGGGTGTCGAAAATTTCTTCTTATATATATATATATATATATGTATTAGCTTCGTTCTCATGTTTATATAATTCTCATGTAATAATAATTAATAGCGAAATATGAAAAATGGTTGACTATATACTAAATGCTAAACTAGTGTCGACCGCTAATTACACAATTTGATCATCTCTCAAACGTTTTTCTCTCGTTTGCTTTCTTAAAAGAGGAGTACATGTCTATTCTCTTTTCCTTTTCTTTTATCAAAAAGGCTTGACATTGACAGATTCGTTTGATTTTAAGGATTACCACAACACACTACACATATCTAAGCCTCCGAAATGCTTTTTCCCAAACCTATTTAGTCCTTCAATCGATTTTGATGAATCTTCAGGATCAGTCTACCTACAACTTTTGCATTGATTGCCCTTAAAAAAAGTACCTTTTTATTCAATCAATGCCTTAACATTTCTCTTTTTATTATTATAATGTGACGCATATCGAGGCTTGTTAAGAACGCATACAATTAGGTCGTTTGCATAATGCGTACGATCTCTTAAACTGAATTTTGCAGTTTTTTGCTTTTCATTTCATTGTTAATTTCTATGATCGCGTGGACTTGAGGAAACTGACTTAATACGCGCGAATTTTTCTCTTCTTTTTTTTTTAGATTATGTTATATTCATTCTGGGAGCACAGATTTCCTTGACTTATATTATATTTTAGGCGTGTGCTTTAAACCATTTGCAATACCAGTCTGTAGGCAAGAATTGTGAACAGTTTTGTCAAATCAAAAGCCGTTATCTTCTTTTGCACACGTAGCTGCATAGTCGCCGGGTCAGACCGGTTTTCATCTATCTAGAATTTAATTCTGATTAAGAATATATAAGAAAGCTTCAGAGACCCTTTTGTTTAGCGCGGATGTTTTGAAGAAATGGCAACAATAAATAGCGACGCTGAACAGTCAGTTTTCAAGGAAAAATCACCGCTACAATTGGCCTTTGAATCTTTGCAGTCAAAGTATTCGGCAGTATTCCACCTCCGTTGTAATAACAATTTGCAAAAGGCAACAGTGCTATACCCGAACTTTCCCATCATTTGTTTTCCTATTTTTATATCTTGCAGTAAGAATGAGAAAGAAAAATTGTAGTAGGACTCTTCCTTTTCTTTATATGTACTCTATACATTTGTTATAAATATATTTTTTAATGACCATGATTAGATTAGATTAACTCATTTAATAGTATCGGTCCGTCTCTCTGCCTTCCTTTTTCTTCTTGTGTTCAAGCTACAACTTTCGTAACAACACGATCGATTGGTGCATTCATTTCAGCTCAAGTACAAGCCCTATTGGGAACATATTGAATTAGATCATATTAACGATCTTTACTCATACAAAGCCGCGACAAAATCATTGAAAAATATAAATCCTCTTCACATGAAGCCCACTGTGCAACTAAATAGCATAAATGTGAACAATCGACTAAGGCAATCTAGATCGAGTTATAGTTTTTTATTCATATTAATAAAAGTCTTTCAGCCTAAATAGGAGCGGATGGATAGATTTCACTGCATGGCCTTTGAATTCCACTCTGATGAAAAACACATACAATACATGAAGTTTTAGTTTCCTATTATTGCAATTAAACTGAGACATACAGTACAAATCCATCTATTAGTAGACTATTAAAAAAAAAAGAAAAAAAAAAGTTACAAAGTTCGACCGTCGATTTCTTTCAAATTAAACGTGAAACTTACGAGGCGTGTTCAAAAAGAAATGTTAGTTTGGCTTTAAGCTTTTTCGACCAAACGGTCGTTACCTCCTTAATCGAATTTATGAAATCAATGACATTTGAACAGTCATCGTACATTTGAACGTACCTCGTATTTTCGCGCCCCCAAAATCCTGATTAACATATTTTGTGTACTTTAAAGTTGAACCACCCAAGCAAGCGATACTGTTTTTTAATTTTTATTAACGCTTTTATTAACATTATATTCAGTGTCTGACCAAGCGTTAGTCTACTTAAGAGTGAACTAAGTACATCCACAACGTTGATCTCAAAATTTCCACAGAAGATAAATGTTTTGAATATTAGTTAGTGAAAGGGAGAAGAAATTGTGATTGACGCCGGGCCACGGGAGAATACACTTCAGGTCATTTGGTGATTGCAAAATGCAACAATGAGCTTCTTCTGCTTTACTAACCGTTGCATGTAAATAAATTGTTTCTTCTTTAATTCTGAAAAGTATTTATTTTTCGCAAATGAACTACTTGTAATATAATAACATCTAGGAAATACATACACATACATAAATACGTAATACATAATTTTTGACTTCTTTTACTTAATATTATTTGCTTGATATGATAAATGCTGGAGTTGTAACGTTTACCTCAAAGTATAAATAGATTTATCAGATTTAATATATAAACTAGCAAAAATAAAAAATAAATAATAATAGAATTACTCTTGCAAAATGCACGGCTATTGAAAACTAACATTTAGACTCTAGATTATAAAATAATTAGGAAAACATTTCAATCTTGAATAGTTAACGACAATACAATGCGTAACACATTTTTTTTTTTTTTAATTTTCATTATTTAGTTTAAGCGACTGAATGATTAGATTCTTTAGTGTTTAGTTTTCAAAATTTCTGGACATTGCCTCTGTTTGCAGCAATTTAGTTGCAGCAGCTCCTTAGCTACTTAGCTTCTTATCGATTCAAGACATGCAAAATGTGTTGGAAGTTTCTTCCGTTAGTTTGAAGATTTCATAGCCTTTAGGTAATTCATTTGTTCTGATTTTCATACTACGGCTTATGCATCTTTATTGGGAGTAAGTCTATTATGTTGGATCGTTTGTATTAATATCCGCATCCGAAATTATCTTCGCGTTAATATCATTAGTTCATCATTACGCGTTGCTAAAGGTCATCATCATCATCATCATCATCATCATTTTCTTCTTCTTCTTCTTCTTCCTCTTCTTCTTCTTCATCTTCTTCATCGTATTCATCTTCTTCGTCGTATTCTTGTTCTTCTTCTTGATGCTTCTCTTGTTCTTCCTTATTTTCTTGCTCCTCCTGCTGATGTTGTTGATCATGTTGAAATTGTTGTTGTTCCTTCTCTGTTGACTGATTTTGTTCTGAATCTTCGTGAACTTTCGACTGTAGGACACTGTTGTTAGCAATTTCCGATAATATGGTATCGACACTATCACTACTACTTGTTGTATCATCAAGTGGTATCAGTGAAAGTTTTGGACCACCCTTGGTAGTATACTGCGACATAAATCTTGTTCGCGATTCTTCAATATCACGTTGCAGTTGCCTTTCCGTATATTCGGCTAATAACTGTTCAAATAATGCTGAATTCATTTGAATGAATGACGGTGGCGCTGTCGGAGACGCCCGACCTTCATCATTATTTGCATTCTCCTCATACGCATTAGCTGCTACTCTATGCAATGCCTTCCATAGTTCTTTGTGATCTTGATAAGTTAATTGATAGAATGAGTATCCAATCCATTGCAGGTATTCTTTTAAAACATCCATAGCTAGCCATACAATGAATTCATTCCAATGTGTCTTGGTAGTTTGATACAAGGCCGGTACAATTATAGGCAGTATGCAGACATTGCTTTGCTCAACTAAAGCGCGAACATGAGCACTTCTCAAGATTCGAAGAGCGCTTTTAGAAACCAACATATGTGGACTGTTTGCACATTTACCCAAGTGACGAAACAGAATCTTTTGTATGCCTTGAAACTCCCTTAATTCGATAAGTCGAAGTATGGTATCAATTTCTTCCAAAAAGATAACCTGCTTCTCTGATGAGTTTTGCGGCCAAAATAGTAGTAATTGCTTGATTACGTTTTCTGTGAGTACTGAGAATTTCTTAACAAATAAAACAACACAACCGGATAGATTAATATGGTATATAGATAAGAGACGATTAATATGCAAAGGTAACAAAACCCTCATTAAAAGTTCAAAGTATTCGTACTTAAGAATTGATTTGAATTCCATAATTACTAATTGAAAGATTTGTAATAACTCAGATATGCCATTAAATTCTCTTCCTTCATATATATGAGCTAAGAATATGTCGACGATGGTCTTTCTAATAAATTCGCGGCGTGTAGGACATTTTTTGAAAATACGCGATAGAACATTGGCTAACGTATAACGTTCAGGTTCAATTTCCGTATCAAATAGTTGAATAAGTTTCATAAGAAATTTCTTATCCATATAGACGTGGGCGTAACCTTTGTCGAAACCTGAATGATGTACGAAACAATAAAAAACTTCATAAACGAGCATTAAATGTTCCCAGCATACTTCTTCAACACTAACATTATCTTTACGTTCACCTTCTATCCGTTGATGAGGCGGCAACGGATGAAATATATTCGCTGAAATCATGCCCAATACTTCATAAAACATACCTTCAGTAAGTATGCCTTTGGCGTTCGCAAGATAGACGGCTAAGTTGCTAAGTACGCCCGTTTTAATCGCTTTACCTCCAATGTCGGCGGAAGGATCCATAAAATTAAATAATACGCGACCCTGTTTTAGCTTACGTGCAAATAATGTTCGTTCACGTAAAGCGGAACGTATTGGATTCAATGGCCGCTGTGGTCGCAGATGAGGATCCTCACTAAACGCATTTCCATAACGTTGTGCGGGTAATTTATTTTTCTTCCTTTTCGTTGGCGAACGTCTCTCAATTGGATGCTCTTCAATAATACGAAAATCGATCATATCCATTACATCGTTGAAGTTTTTTGTTTCATCCAAATTCACCATATTCTTATATTAAGATGCTATGACTTATTATATATCGAAGATCGAATTTATTTCAGCTTTTTCTGTAAGCGCTTTCCGTCTTTAATAAATAGTTTCTACTTCTGATTGATGAGCGTTTTGAGCAATAATTTACTAACTGTAATTAATTTTGCTAAAAAAAACAAAAAAAAAAAAAACTCTTTTTAAATTTAATGCAAAGCAAAAGTAGTGAACGTATTAGAAGGACGACGATAAATACAAAATGTTGTATGAAAAGAAAAGTTATTCTCATCTTTTCTTATGAAATGTTTGCACGTCCTCGGATTGCTCCGGCAATTATTTTTACTGTTATAATTTTTTTTTTAACTTTTACTGGTTCATAACATTATTTTGTTCTTTACACTCACTTATGAATGGCATTTTAGTTTTATCCGACTTTATGTAACGATCAATAGGTTTTTCTTGTATACCGATTGTGGTAGCGATCATCGATCTGATCTAACATGTATGAAGAAAAATGAGTCAGATCATCCGCTATACTGTTCTTAAGTCAGCTTATGCACCCGCTATTTGTTCTACTTAGAATTAGAATAAATTCTTCAGAATTATGTAAATTTAACATCGTACCATTGTCGCATATGCTTCCTGCAATGAATTGAATCACTGCTCCGATTCACTAGCGTATTCATTAAAAAAAAATGCATCAGAAATATATATGTACAATATTCATGTTGAGTTGCATAAGTTAACGGATCCTGATCCTACCTTTAAAGAAAGTATTGAAAGCTGGGACCGTTATTAGTCCATAAGCTATTATCGAGAGAGAGAGAGAGAGAGAGAGAGAGAGAGAAAGAAAGAAAGAAAGAAAGAGAGAGAGAGAGAGAGAGAGGAAGAGGGAATAGAGACAGATCAAAAAGGTATAGAGCCAGAGAGAGAAAAAGCGTAAGGGAAAGAGAGAGAGAGAGAAAGAGTAAAAGCTTACCAAACGGCATTGTTTTGAGCATTGCCTTATCCTCAGAATAAAATTATCAGAGAGAATTTTTTTTGCTGGATCGTATTAATTGAGATAAAAAGATAAAAGTGTACATCTATGTATGTCCGTACAAAAATTTTAGAAATAAATGTGGAAGTCGAACATGATCAGGCAAACGGATGCCCCTTATACACTGGCAATTAGTGTAACCAAATGAAGTTGAAACTGCGGACTGGCTAAGCTTTTGTTTATATTCAATTCTATACTTATTTATGCCTTTATTTCTTACCCTTAAATTTTGAAGTACCCCCTCGTATAAATAAATTTGGACTTAAGATATCTGTCCGCCGCAAATATTGTTAATTATAGCCTACACCCCGTGCGGTATAATATTATATTAAGGCATCCAGAAGCACTTGACTGTTCTTTTAACCCTGTCTGTCAGTCTGTCTGTCTTGTGTTCAACTTAGAACTCGTAATTTTTAAGATATTTTGATAAAGTTTTGCACACAGACTCGCTGTGATTCAAGGAAAAGCGGTATTCAAAATAGTTCCGATCGGCCCACTTTTTCGACCCCGTCTCATATAACATTAAACATCTTGTAGTAAAAAGACGTTATATGAATAAAAGCAAAGTGCTGTGACGTATTTAATGGAATTATGGCCCCTATATAATGCTTTTACTCGCTTCTTTTTTAAATAATAAATCTCCCGAACATAAGAAAAGTTTTCAACCATATCTTCATTGCTTAAGCATACAATCAATCACTTTATTAATAACTTTAAAATAATCGGAGGAGAGAACATGAAAAATAAAAAAAATGAACACAAAACTGAACAGAAAAACTGTAAGAAACTACGGATTCGTTTAAGTAGAATTTTCCTAAACATTTGGGTTTAGAGAGCAAAACCCATTGCTTATAAATGATGATTTTTGTCTTAAGTTTTAGTGCAAACTTTTTGTTAAAATAAGTAATATTTCGTCTCTTAACTATTAGTTGCCCTTCATTTGTTGGGCATTTGGTTAACGTTTATGGCTAAATATTTCCATTAAATTTAAAATTTGTTTCGCTTATTGCTGTTACTGGCTCGACTGTTGTCAATGTTTTCGTTACTTTAGCTGTAGTTATTGTTAATCTTCCCATGTTTTCTGTTCCTCTTGTTTTTATTGCTTTTGAATCACTTAACTGCTGCACATATCCTTGTTGATTCGGTTTTCATCCTTGTTGATGTTATTGCAGTTGTTGCTGCTCCATTGCGAGTTGCTCTTGCTCAGGCGCTCGCTACTTTCATTGACTGGTTAGTATACATCTCTTCCAGAGTTTTATACGATCTTTGCGTGGTAGTTTAACAGTTGATTCATAAAAAGATTGTAATAAGTCTACCAAGTATTCTAAAATGCTGATATTGTGAGTCTTCGAATGCCAACACATCTTACCAGCGCGATATAATGCTGATATTAAATCAGGTAAATCGAAGAAATTTCTTTTGTATATCAAATCGAGGACGACTTTATTTTTCCATAATGACAGAGCACGCTTCGAAACTTGAAACTGCGGACTGGTTAAACTTTCCAATAATCGTTGAAAAAGATTGTCTTGGATCTTAATGGTTTTTGGAGAATGAACACGCTCAAGTATCATTTCGATTTCGTCTAAGAACATTATCTTCTTTTCCGTACAAGTTTTCGGCCAATATGATAAAACATTATTTATTAGATACTCGCGAAGAAATGGATATTTTTTTATATATTCTATGATGCAATTTGTCAATTTCTTGTAATATAATATGAAATACTTGCATTTATGTAAAGGTAGCAACACCATCTCCAAAATATCATAATATTCGTCTTGAATCGATATATTATATCCGTCAATTATTCCTACCATCATTTGTAATAGCTGAGGTATACCGTTACAATAACGTCCTTCAGATATGAAGCTTAAAAAAATATAGCATATTTCTTTCCTTAAAAATTGTTGGACATCGGGGAATTTATTGTAAATCGCGACTAAAATTTTCCTTACAGCAACACGTTCCCGTTTATCTTCGGAAGATAATAGATGCAAAAGTTGCGATAAATATCTCCTGTTAATTAAATATTGAGCGCTAATCGGGACAAATCCGGAATGATATAAAAAAATATGAAACACCTGGTATACTAAGCTTAAATGCAGCCAAGCAACATCTTCAACTAAACCATCTTCTTCGCGTTCATCTTCCGTAAGTTCAACTGAAGGCAATGTATAGAATAAATTACAAGAGACCATACCGATTACTTCATGATGTATAGCTGCAGATAATGTATCCCGAATTTGTATTAGATAATCCATTATGTCTCGAAGTATCGTATATTTGTATTGTTTTCCCTCGACATCAGCATCGGGATTATCGAAATCGCATAAGACGCGACATTGCCGTAGTTTTTGTATAAATAAAGTTTCTTGCTCTTTAAACGGCTTCTTGGGATCCAATTTTTCCAATTGCTCCAACTGACCATTCATCTTTGGCACCTGCCCATAACGTGATTTACATGAAACATCCTTTTTTCTTTTAATTGGTGAACGGATTTCCGGTAGAGATGTCCTATAAACATCCCTTGACAATGCCATTTATGTCGCTTTCAATGCGATACACTTCCGAGGCTTATTCCGATTGATTTGCAAGTTGATACAAATTCTATACGCACAACCTTGGTCTCAATATTTGCGATTTTTCTGCTCTTTTCAATTGCTTATTATGTTTATCAAGGATACGATTCTTTCTACTGAAACAACAACAACTTTTTAATAATAAATTGCAATTAATTTTATTAAAGTTAGAGATTAAGAAAACGATTGTTGATTTGCGAAAACTGAAAAATACGTCAAAATTACATTTTTTTCTTTCTCGTTTCCTTTGTCTTCTTCTTCTTCTTCACCAGATGTTTCGTTGTGCTGAGTGGGAGAAATGTAATGCGAACTGTCGTCATAATTGTTCTGAGTTCTTCTAGTTTTTCTTGAAAAATCAACATACGTATGAAAAATAATTGATTGCATCTCAGGAGCCTGTGCAAAAGGCTACAAAATGATTGCTTACGTAATAAACGATAAAGAACTTCGAAAGGCATCCAGATGGTATACGTAGGCCATCATCGGTATCAAAAAAGAGAAAAAGAGACAAATAATTATAAGAATTGTGTTACGCGAAATGTTGTAGGGTTTTTAATGACGTATATTGGTCGATTATAACTTTTTATTTGTTTTCTTTTTCTTTTTTTTTTTTTCTGAGTAACCTAACAATTTTACAGACTTCGAGAGAGAGAGAGAGAGAGAGAGAGAGAGAGAGAGAGAGAGAGAGAGCTTTTTTTAGCTTTTAAAAATAGTTTGACTAATACACGCGAACAGATAGAGAAAACTGAGATAATTTTTTAGTACCGCTTTATTCTGGGATGTTCAGTTAGATCTCGTTATTAGGTATGCAGTATAGGATTAGATGCGTATGCTAGTATACTAGTTTTGTTACTTGATATGGAGCATATATAAATTAGTGGCATAGGCTACACGAATACGTTTCTTACCAGCATAAAACTAGGAGCCAATTAGGGGAAACTTGACTGTCAAGATAAAAATCTATAATACGAAGAGAATCGTTTTTCCGAATAACCTGCAAACTAAACAGGATATCGATCTAAAATCTTGCAAGAGTACTTTTAAGGCAAAAAATGGATCCAAGTGCAATAATTTAGAAGAGGACACGCGTGGTGCCTTGTGTTTGTTTATGAAAGAAAAGCTTGAAAATGTATAAATTTATTGCATTTATCCCAGGCTCTCCAAATTATTTTCAGCTTAATAACAAAAAGTGGGTGTAAATTGTAAACATATAAGAGGGAACACTACCTACCATAATCGTTTTACTACCACGAACCTATTTAGATTACAAGTCATGCAACATAAAGTACAGAAGTACAGGATATTAAGCTTAAACTTGAGTGCGAAACACTTATTACCTTTAAGCAGAAATTGTCATATAAAAGGAAAATTTCCATATATTACTTATTGTTTGGACTGAATCTGTTTGATGAGCCCCATACTCAATCAATGAAAAAAGTGCTGAAAAGTATTACGTGAATTGTAGCTTTCTCAGTTAATCTATTGATTACTCTTTCAATAATCCTTTGGTTAGAGGAAACAAATACTGAAACAAAGATTTAATATATTAAAGCTTAGTTTTTACACTCTCTTTCCGCTAACCAGCAAACAACAGGCAGAGAAAGGCATTAGCGTGATCACATCCTTACGGAAGCTTATCCGATCTGTGGAGTGGCCGGCCAGTGTGCAACTCTCGGTATTGAAAATCGCATCGCTTTGGCTATTTCGAGCGGTAAGTGTATACAAGTGACTACGACTGGGATATGAATTTCGTTCTCACCTTTTTGATTAGTTTTTCTCTCACCACAGTTTTTAAAATCTTTTCTTTAAATCTTTTGTTTTTTATTTTTTCATTTTTTTTAAATAATGTTTATAGAATTTATTAAAAATACATAAATACATTCTTTTGTTTTGATAAATTTTTGAAAATAATTCAGTTCTTAATTGTGGAACTTACGATGCGAACTTACAAAGTGCGAGATAAAAAATGCAAAAAGCAATCAAAGTGAATTTTTCATCTGTTCGGTCGATTTCGTTTTCTACTTTTCGCCAATTTTTGTTTTTTTTTTTTTGTTCTTTTTTCTCTATATATATTTCTTTTTAATGATTTACACTTGATTAAATGATAGTAAATACAATAATAATAATAATAAACCTTCTTAGGCCACAAGAATGCTTACATTACTTACGCTTCTAAGGGGCCGAGAAAATGACTGAATGTTTCACGTAATAATTATAAATAAATTCTTTTTTCGTTTTCTCAGTAACAATATTTTCGTTTCCTAACAGTGCTTCAAATTAAACATTTTTTATTTTAATAGTAATTTTAACAAAAGGGGAGAAAAACACACGAAAACAATAACTAACGCGAAAAGTGATGATGAGAAAAACTGCAATAAACTACGTTAAGTATTATTTTGGAAACTTGGGCATCAAGTGATTCCTCCGTTTAAATAGAATATTATCGAGAGTTTAGATTTGGATGAAGGCGGGAACATCTTTCAAGTTTGTGATATTTTTTATAGTATTAGTGAGGAGTATTGCATTGCAAGTGCTTTGCGATTAAAGTTGCGCTTGTCTTCTTGCTTTGCGGATCGATGGATGTTGGATTTTTTTTCTGAGAACGTTATCCTATTTTGGATGTTGCTGCACTGTATTAACTCTTGCCGTTGCTTTGTTTGCTCCTGCTGTCGATGCGGTTGTTGTTGTTGTTGCTTTTATCTTTGGCTTTGACGCATTTATTTTACTTCTTGCCGTATACGATGATGCTAGCGTCGTTTTTGCTGTTGCGTTTTTTTTTGTTGCCGTCGTTGTGGTTGCAGTTACTTCTGTCGCATTTCCTGTCGATTTTGCGGTATATTTTGTTGGTGTCACTTTTGTCACCGTCACTTTTGGCACTGCGATACTTGTTGCCGCCTTCGCGCCTATCATTTTTTCTGGTGTCTTTGCGCTTGTCCTTGCTGCGATTGATTCTGCCAAACTTGATGTACTCGAGGACGTTGTCATCAGGTTTGGCACGATTCCTGTCGCTCTTACCTTTGGATTTGCTTTTGAATTTGTTTTTGTCTTCTTTGTCATGATTTCTCTTTTTCGAAACGTAGCTTCTGCCGTCTTGGCTGCAATGGCCTTAGTGCTTTCTGCTCGTGCTGTTGTTATTACCGTTTTAGCGTTTGCTCGTACAACAGTTGTTGCACTTTTTGCTGTTCCTATTGTTGTTTTTGCCAGTGTCATCATTGACGTTGCTTTCGTTTGTGTTTTTGTTGTATTGGTTTTTGTTGTGTTCGTAGCTGTGATTGCAGTTTCCTTTGCCGATGCTACTTTTGATGGTTGGCCTGATCCTAGCTGCAACGACGGTCGCGGTATCTCTTGTCGCTGCAATTCCTGACGTCTTGGGCTTTGCCGTTCCTGTGCATCTTCTTGCTGCACATGCATTTTTGCTTGTAGCTGCTTCTGATCGTTTTCCTGCCGATTTCGTTGTTTAGTTTGTGGCTTTTGATAATATTGCAGCTGTTTTTGCAATTGTTGCTTTTGTTGTTTTGGCTTGTCTACATTTTGTGCATGTTGCTGCACAGGATACACTTTGCCTGTGAACGCAAAGTTATCACTGTTTGGTATATTAAGACAAAGTGAACCAGGAAGCGTGCTTCTTATGCGAAATTGATTAAGCATTTGGCTACGTAAATTCTTATTTTGTCGTTGTCGTTGCTCTATTATGTAACAGGCCAATAAATTCTCAAATTCAACTGAATCAAAATCAATATACTCGAATGGAACGGAATAAGATGGATTCAAAATTCTACGAGACAATTGCACACTTGCAATAATGCCAGTTTTTCCAATTTCGTTCAATTCTAGATTCGCTTCTAAATTTCCCCAATGCTCCTTAAGGTCGTCGTATGATAATTTATAGAATGTTGTAAAATTATCTGACAAAAATACTTTGAGGTAAAAATAAGTGGACTCTCTAATCTGTTTATGCCAATGCAGCTTACTGGCGTCGTACAATGTCGTTATTACGGTAGGTAAAACGAGAACACTAATTTCGTTAGTCAAACGCTTGACAGTTTCATTATTCCATAGACGCAGAGCCCATTTAGAAACCTGGAAATGTGGATTCGTTACGCATTTAAGTATTTGACGGAATAAACCGCCACGGAGTCCAATAAATTGTACTGCATTAATAACTTGAAGTAGCGCTTCGATTTCCTCCAAAAACATTATTTCCTTTTCCGCGCAGGTATTCGGCCAGACGAGTAAAATATATCTTATAATAGGCTCGGAAAGAAATGGATATTTCTTGATGTAGATTATAAGGCAACTAACCAGCATATCGTGATACAATATTAAATACTCGCCTGTGTGTAAACGTAACAATACCTTAGTTAAAAACTCGTAATATTCGCCATTTACAGTTTCATCAAATTCCATAATAATCCCAGCCATCACCTCTAATAGTTGAGGTATACCGTTGCAATATTTACCTTCATAAATGGAACTCAAAAATATATTTCTTATCTCTTTTCTTATGAAATTCCTTTTATCGTTGAATTTATAGTAAATACCGCTTAATATATACCTTAGAGCGATGCGTTCACGTTTATCGGACGAGTTAAATAACTGCAAAATTTCCAAAATAAATTTATTTTCAAGGAAGAATTCGTGACGCGTTTCTATGAAGCCGGGGCTGTATAAAAAATTACGAAACACCTGATAAACAAGCTTCAAATGAGACCAGGCGACATCCTCAACCGGGACATCTTCTTTAAATTCAGCTTCGGGAATTTCAATTAGCGGCAATGTATGAAATAAATTGCTAGAAAATAATGCAATAATTTCGTGATATACGTTTACCGAAATCATACCCCGAACTTGTGCTAAGTGATCAATAATTTCTTGAAGGATCTCTGTTTTAATTCGTTTGCCTTCTAAGTCACTCTCCGGATTGTCGAAGTCATATAAAACGTGACACTGTCGTAATTTATATATAAGCGATATTTCTTGATCAGTAATTGCCTGGTCCGATGGACTTAATGTTTCTAAACATTCAAGCTGAGCACTGTTATTCATTAATTTTCCATAACGTGATCTACATTGGAGTTTTTCCTTTCTCTTTATTGGTGAACGCTTCTCTAACAAATTCTTCGCATCTTTTTTCATCGATAATTCCATTTTTCCCAATTTTAGTCCGATTTATTTCT